AGAAGAGGTAATGTTTCAGGCCCTGCATCAGGACCCAGGAGATGAGGAGCCTGTTCTGCCATGGGACCTGCCCTGGGGGAACACCATTCACCTGAAGTGAGATTGGTTCCATCTCTCCCAGGCTTCTGAAAATCCCTTAAAAGCTAGTTATGTCAACAGGCCTGAGCATTACAAGGGAATGGTAACTCAATTAAATGGCTCCATTCTTTATCTGATGTTCTCTTTTAAGCTTTTTATAACAATGTTAATTTTTTGTAGTTTTGAATGTTTTAAAAATAGTTTTATTGTTGTTTTATATGTCACCTAAAAGATATTGCACGAGAATCACATGAGATGGGCAGCCATATAAATGTAAGAAGGAGAATTAATTAATAAGACTTGTTAGTTCTAGTTTGCAGTTTCTTTTAAACTGTACCAGAGACAAATTCTTTGTGTGTATAATCATGTTTGGCCAATTAAGTATTCTATAATTAAGTATTCTAATATTTAGGGTTTCAGTTACTTGTTGTGTGATACATGGTTTTTATAATTACTTTGAAATAATCATTGGTAACCAAGGCTGCCATCACCTAATTTTGGTTAGGTCAGATAACCAAACCAGATTCTTAGTGAGTGATTTATGAATCCAATACAGAACTTATTGTTCAGAAGTAAAGCCAGAATACATGTTTAAGTTAAATTTCTTCCCTTTTTATATGGGAAGAAATATAATTTAAACGAATTCCTAAAACGTGATTTGATATTGACTTTAATGGGGAACATGACATTTTATAAAGGAAGACTTGCCCCTCTTGCGCAAATATATTATTTCATGTTGCTTTTGACAACATGAGAAAAGGCGAGTCCTAGCTGGGTCCTTCAGACAGTCACAGAAAAAATAAAAGAGAGATATAAGAACCTTTTTTCCCATTTTACTGCACGTGTGCTATAACTATTTGAAGCTGAAAAAGCTACAGAAAGATTTTCCTTGATTGCTTGCTTCCTTTCTACTCTTCAGTTTGGAGTCAAGGTAAGGTTTTTTAAAAATGATAGAGTAGGGAATTTAGGTTTAGCAGGTAATGGGGGAGGGGAAAAGAGCATGAATCTGTACTTTTCCTTTTCTTTCTTTCCTTTCTTTTCTTTTTTTCTACTTTTCTTTTCAGAGATGTGGCTTTCTGGGGGGGTGAGATAGTTAAAGCAAGGGAAAGGTTTTGAAAAGCTTGTCCTAAAGTTACCGCCTTTCCAAGCAGAGGTTGGCTTCCCAATAAATAACAAGAGCCAGGAAAGGTTAGCATCCTCCTAATGCCCAGCTGACTGGAACAGAAGCTCCAAAAGCAGCCTCCATTTTCTGCGAGGAATTGTCAGGATGCTGAAAATTGTGGCTGCTTTCAGGAGACATAGGGAGCAGGTCGAAGCACTGCAGGGTCAATTTTGGGATATGTTGCAGGATGGTAGCCTTGAGAAAAATCTGCCAGGTTCATAATGGATTCTTTTCATTTTGAAGAAATCAAAAATGTGGATAACTACCCCAGTTGTTCTTTTTAAGTATATTTATTTTGTATTATCATAAAAGGTAAAATGTAAACAGTTGTAAATGTAAGAAGCAGTCATAAGTCCCTTTTGAACTGTAAATGGTATCTGCCATTCTTTTTGCATAGTTCATAGAGCATCTACTTTGTGTATGTGTATGTGTGCTGGGTTATATGTTTGTGTTCTTGTAAATAAAAGAAATTAGTATGGAGATAATTATTTCATTTTTAGCTCATTGATTTCCTTTTATTTCATTTCATGTTTCCCTTATCCTAATATTTCATAGGACAATAACAATCAAGTGCTTTCTTTGAACAAGACTTCTACACTTCTCAACTGTCACTTTCTCTCACTCTTCGTGAACAAATGCTCCAGTTTTAAGTTTGATAGGTTTCTTTTTTTCCAACATCTTAAATATTTGAATAGATTATATTTAAATAAATATAGAATAGACTTTTCAAAAGTCAGATTAAATTGTTGCCATCAAATATGCTGTACAGTATGGTAAATTTCAAAACATACCCATAATCCAAAGGTTTTGTTCCTATAACAGTACTGATTCTGAAATGGTGGATCATGGTATTACAAATTTTATAAACGTCTTCAGCAGGAAATCATCTGGTCTGATTTTAAATCTAAACCAGGAAGAGATACTTCTGAGTAGATAAAATGTTTTACTTGCAAAAATCCTAAAATTATAATGACAACAGATTTTAAACAATAACTATAAAAACAAGGCTTCTAATAACAAATCAATGGATTGGGGCTTTAATTTTGTTATATGTTATTTGTTAAATATTTCACTTTTTAAACTTTTGTGTAATGACAAGTTTAGATTATATTTATAACTTGCTTTTGGGCCTTTTGCCTGTAAATAAAATTGAATTAGTTTTTATTGTTCGGAGTTGCTTTTGGTGTTTGGATAAACAGAAATCTGGGATATAAATTCAATAATAATAAAATGTAAATTAGAAGAATGGCAGGTATGAACTATAAGAACAATTTTATTACTAATTCAGCATTTATTTTGTGAATATGATTGCTAATTTAACAGTTAGCACACATCCATTTAGTTCTTATCAAGTCATAGCTCTACTCCATAGACTCATGTGAAAAATTCCCATTTGCAGCGATATAAGACTGGGGTCTTCAAGCTTGACAGCTTTAAGACTTGGGGACTTCAACTCCCAGAATTCCTTCTCCAGTCATGTTAACTGAGAAATTCTGGGAATTGAAGTCCACAAGTCTTAAACTTGCCAAGTTTGAAGACCCTTGGTATAAGACATCCTACCTCCTATAAAACTTTTATGTTTCAGTCTAAATCTAACAATCTAAAATATATTTAAATTGTTTCTCCATCTCATAAAAGCACATACAGTATTACCTATTTGTTTTATAATAACTATATGGAAATACTGCACTGATTGCTAGGATAGCAGTTAATACCGTCAAATCATATATTAATATTTTCTTTTAATTGCTACTTGAGAGCAGACTCTGCCTTAAGTTTAGATAGGTATTACTGTAGTTTCTGCACAGTTTAAAATATGGGTGAAATAGTTAAAAATGTTGCACTCTTTTGCATGTACATACATACTACAATATAATGTATTTGCTCCAGCTGAAAAAAAATATGTTTGGATTACAAAGCAAGAGGCACGTATGACGATTTATTCATATTTTTTGGTTTTATTTAGATAACAGTCAGGATAGACAACAGTATCTAAACAATATATGTGACATAATGATTGCCCCCTTTTATGTACAAGCCCTATGAAATGTATATAACAGTGTTAAAAGGGGGATGGGGGATTAGATTGCTTGGTCAGCCTACTACGTGATGTTGACTCCCCCTCCCAGGCAGCAGACATCCTTGTTTGTATCTTGTGGTATGTAGCTTCACAATTCAGCCTGTGCTTGATTATTCAACAAACAATCATTAAACAAGCTTCATGTGGAGTACAAAATATTTTTTTATTCTCACAGTTTATTTAGTGACAGAGAAGATCTTAGAATTTTCACTGTTACATGCATGACCCTCATGGTGGTTTGAACATCAACAGTGTTTTAAGCCTAATAAATGAAATACATGTTCCAGAAGGAACTGGGGGCTTTGCTACATGGTCCTTCCAAAGCCCTGGTAACATCCTGGAATCAAATATGTCTGAGGCTTTAGACAGGATCTTGCCTGTGCAGCCTCTCTTGACCCATCACTCCCAACACACCCCATAGTTCATGGAGGAGCAGCAGATTCTGAAAAGGGCTAAGAGATGCCTAAAATGGAGGAAAATGAGGGATAAAGCCAATAGGACACAACTTTAGAGTTTCTATTAAGCCCTGGTAAGAACAGTGAAACACCATTATTTCTCCACCTTTATTGCACGGTCAGCTGATAGCTCTGTTCAGGATTACCTATTTCCTCCTGGGGCAGGAAGGTTTGTGGGATCATCTTCAGAGCCTATGTCTCTGTGTTCAGCAGCCCATTTGGCTTTCCATTTGGAATTGAAAAAAAGTTATTGGGTAGATGTTGTGCAATTGCCAATGGGGGCTTCCTGAATTTGCCTCTTGAGGAAGGTCAGCATGCACTGGTAAGAATGAGTTCATATTTTTTCTGCATTCTCTCACCAGTACATCTTAGCTATCTCTGTAATATCTTTGCTATTGGTATTTATTGCTTCTGCATTCTGTCTTTTACCTAAGGAATATAATGCAATGTATGGAGGAGAGGCATTTCTCTCATGGGTACTGTACTTTCCTCATTTAGTCCATCTAGAAATATCCTTGTGAATTAGATTAAGGTCAGGGAAGGTGATTGGTATAAAATTACCTAGTGGCTTCTATGACTGAAGATTTGAACTCATAATCTAACATACTAATGGTTTTTTTTAAAAAATACTGATCATAAATTTGGTACTAAGCTCTTTTTTTGTGAAATTAGCACATTTTATGCACAAAAATAACATTGTTTCAAATCAGTGGGATAGAAAAATAAGCTCTTTAAGTGCTAGTTAGAAATCTACCAATATAACCATTTTTATCCTACTAAATTATACAATGTACAGTAATCATGGATGTACATTACACACAGAGACAATATACTGTGTTTTATAGAAAGGGAAAAATATAATGTTACTCCTAAAGAGAACTGTGCATTTTGTAATCCAAATATCCTTGACAAAGCCATGCAACAGTTGTTACGTTGCAATTAGTGTTGCAATAGTTGTATTTCAGCCTTTGATTTGTATATTTTTCAAATATACATTTTTAAAAATATATCAAGTATTAACTATGGAAATATGACTATGATACTGGTTGCAGTCTTACTTACATTAACATGAAAATGTTCGTGTTTATCAACTGGCACAGAGTTGTACATTCCAGCTTCAGAATTCCATATGTATTTAGTTTAGATTGATAATTCAGTCTATGTTTTCACAGGTCAATTCCTTCAGTGCTAAAATTTTAATCCTCTGTTGCTTTCTGTTTCTTAGGAATTATGCCGTCAGCGTATGGCGGTGAAAACATCAGATTGTTCAGAACCTCTACATGCTTCTCGTATTAATAGCATATCTTCACAATTTAGCGATGGACCTATTCCAAGTCCTTCTACTCGAAGCAGCACTTCATCCTGGTACGAAGAACCGGTCCAGTCTAATATGGACATCTCCACTGGACACATGATATTGGTAAGGCATTGAAGCAGCATTTTAACCTTTTTTTGAATTTATTTGAACTACAGAAAGCACAGCAAATCTAGAATTTTTAAAGCAACAGCATCAACTTAATAAAAATACTTATTAGACATATTTATTCTGGTTTCACTTCTTGTTGTAGTTTTGGTATTTAATGTACTAGTAATTTTATGTAATAGTAATAATAACATTATTAATGTAATTTCTATTGTGGATGTTGTATGATCAATAAACTATAATAAAATCTGGTTCTTATTAGAGTAGATAAAATTTAATAAATGAATTTTAACTTTAAGATTTAAACTCCTGCAATGTTTACTATTATTGTTTCCATCATTTTAACTTTAACATTTCTTTATTGACAATTTTTTGTTTTTATTTTATTGAATTTGTTCATAATAAATCCAGGCAGCTGCAGTCTGTGGTATATCTTTAAACAGGGATCTACCCTTTCTCATGGAACAATGATGTCTAATTCCAATCATGGATATATGTAGGGATAAGTGGCTATTAGAAAATCTTCTGAACATATTTTGAAGCAGGTTGGAAAAAGAATTAATTTAAAATATATGTATGATAATATGGCAATGAATCCATTTAAGATAGTCCCTCAGAAAAGTTAATATTCTTAGGGAATAAATTCAATGGATGAAATATGATTTGTACAGTCATATTTTGAAATATGAAAGGGTTCCAGGTTTAAGTCACATTGATAGCCCAAACGTGTCTATTTATATAATTGAATGAATGTTATAATATTATGATCGAAGTTCTCTAGAATTATGAAAGAATCATGCCAATGGAAACTCATAAAGAATCCAAAGAAACTCAAATCCTCTTGCATTACAAGAAATTAGTTTTTTTTTTCATAAGCAAACTCTATTTATCTAAACCTACCTTGATAAATTCTTTAAATTATGAATTTGATTTAAAAGAAGTCAAACAAGGTTTCATCTTTTCTTGTTAAATAACTTCCCCAATTTTTGTTTAAGGTGTATGCAGTATTCAGAATAGGCAAGGACACTTCAGTTGTGGTATGGATACCCTTTTTGTATTTGATGACTTTTCCTTACAAAAGCTGTACCTTTTCCTGGGCTGCTTAACCTGATTGCTGAGGTGGTGGAAAAGTTCCCTGAATTAATAATAATGTTTCAGGATTTCAACATACCTTCCTCAGTTAAGAAGTTTGAGGGTGCTAGTTATTTATGACTGCTATATCAACCATGGGCATGGTTGAAGTCCATTGAGGACTTGATGTATGGATGCTGTATTTATCTTTTGTCTCAAGGAAGAAGCAAATGATTTAAAATTGGGAGACACTGAACTTTGCTCCTGGTTATGGACAGATCATTATCTGATTGTTATGAAATTCTGTAGTATGAGTCTTTCTCTGCAGTCCATTCCAAATGTGACGTAGATACACTTGGTTTTCAGAAATTTCTCTGGGAATTTTCTGAGAATCTGGAGGGGACAGCTTAAATAAGACTCTTGTTTAGAGGAATGAAAGATTGGGTTGGTTTGAAGTGGTCTTTTTACAAGTTCAATCTTGAACCTACACAGTGGTGATTTGAGTTGTAGACAAGAAATATTTTGCTGTTATTGTGTCAATTTAAGGGAATATTGCCAAAAACTCTGCAAAACAATTGTGAAGAATTTTCACAGCATTTGATAGACAAAACTTTTCAAATCCAATATGAGTTTTATGCCAGCTGGGCAGTGAATGGAGATGACAAGACCTTGTCTTGTAAAGTGCCCTGGAATCATTTTAAGTCTCTGAACCCTGAAGAAATGAATAGGGCCCTCTGGGAGAGAATTCTAACAATTCTCAGTTGGATCCCTGCCTCTCATGATTTGTTAATGATTCTGGACCTTGAATTTGAGCAGAAATCAATGCTTTTTTTAAGTGAAAGGATATTTTTTCTATCTCTGAAGGAAATGGCACATCCAATCTAGAAGCCTTTGTTCAAGGCAATCAACTTGAACAATCTTCCTTTTCATAGAAATGTTGTAGGGAAAGTGGTGTGTACCTAGTTGCAAAGGATTTTAGAGAAAGTGGATTATCTGGACCTTTGTAAGTCATAACTCAGGATAGAAAGCAGCCTGCAAACTGTATTGGTCTCATTATGAATAACCTTCAGAGAGATCAAGCTCAGGGGAAATTACACCCTCTGTTCCTCATTGATTGCTGAGCAGTTTTTGATATTAACAACCATGTTATCCTTCTGGGCTATCACCAAAGGATTAGGGTAGGGTGAGGGTTCCTGACCAATCAGTTCCAGTTGGAAAGTGAGGGTGCAAATGAGACAAATTTCCACAGCTAACTTGCTGCAGCAACTCACCATGGCCAACTCAGTACAGCCAACTCTCTGCAGTCAACTCACTACTGCCAACTTGCTGCTGGCCAACTCACAATGGCCAACTCACCACGGGACAACTTGCTGCAGGACAATTTAACAATTCTATTTAATTATTTAAAATAAATAAAAAATAATTTTAATTTTTGCCATTCACATTTCATTCTGTCCTCCTTTTGCATTTTTTCTTTATTTTATTCCAACTTTTCTTTGATATTAGTGTAATTCTTGTCCTGCAGCAAGTTGTCCTGCAGTGAGATGGCTATGGCGAGTTAGCTGTAGTGAGTTGGTCATGGCAAGTTGACTATGGCAAATTGTCATAGACCCGCAGGGGGAAAGGAAGAAATAAGAGTTCTATCTGGTACCTCTGCTTTGTGAAATAACTCAGAGATATTTCTTCAATCTTCTCCTGTGATTTTTAATATTTTATTTATTTATTTGATTGTTATCTCATCTTTGTTACTTTGTAAGTAACTCAACTCAAACATACTTCTTCCTCCTCCTATTTCCTTCCCCAACCTGTGAGGTGGGTTGGGCTGAGAGAGGGGGAATGGGGAGGTTACCTGCTCTTCTAAAATCTGGTAGAAATTTTGGCAAAAATACATAAATAAATATGCTTAAAAGTCTTTACAGTTTTAATGTGTGATCAATGTCCAACTAAACTGGAAATGGAAATTTACATATTTTTTACATTTTTCTGATGAATTTAATATTAAGATGGTATCAGTTCGATTCAGTGAACCTTGTTTTTTAGGTTATCAAATAAATGTATTTTGTATTAAGTTGTTAGGATTCAGAGGTTGTTATGTGGTATAATTACCATATAACATAATAAATTTTGGGAATACTAACTGGAAGGGTGTGGGGGGGGAGGGAGGGAGGGAAGTAGGGAGATAATAAAATATTCAGGAAAAATGATATCCTCTTTACACATTTTTGAAAACCAGCAAAATGCTTGTTCTTATTAGAAACAGTAATAGCAATGTTTAAGGACATCATTCATTTATTTTGTCTTTTTTTGAAACACCAGAAAAATACATGGAGAGAGAACTTAAGAAAGTGCTACAGATAGTCCTCATTTAATGATCATTCATTCAATGGCCATTTCAAGTTATGAAAGTGCTGAATGAATCTTAGTTGCAACCAGTTGTGACCATTGCAATTCCCCCATGCTCATTTGATCAAAATGTGGGGCAGCTGTCCCACATTCACAATCATAGAATGTGTTTCAGCTTCTCCCACCTATCTTGTCTCCTCCAGGCATTGGGCAAGGGTTAATAGCCACCACCTTGGCCCTGGGAGCCTCTGCCAGCTCCATTTTTCTGCCCCTTCCCTGGCTTGGTGAGAGGGTTTGGCAAGCTCCCTTCAACAGATGGGGGTCTGCTATTCTCCAGTGTGTATTACAGGGCTCATCCGAGCAGCAAGAGGAAGAACATGGAGAAGATCAGCTAGAGAATGGGGGTGGGGGTGGGGGGGCTGCAGGAGTGAGCAACAGTGGTTATGTAGAGTAGCCAAAAGAGCACAGACCTGGAGAGTTTGTGGGTGGGGGACTTGTAGCTGAATCTCAGCTGCTAAAGGGGCCCAGCTGGGAAAGAGGCAATAAGATGGAGTCAGCGGTTCATGCAGGAGAGGAAAAGCATAAGATCCTAATAATGGTGTGATCCTCGCCCAACAGGAACAAATGGGATTACTAAAATTATATCACCAAGTAGTGCAGTCAAATAATATTTTATCTAACTACCTCTTTGCTTAACAACAGAAAATTTTATCCCAATGAGAGTCATCATATGAGGACTACCTGTATTTTATCCAATTATTTAATGAAATCATTGCTGCATTTAATGAAGCATTTTTCTCTTGGTTTGGGACAACTAGATAGCCTACAATATGTAATAGCCATTTAATTTTTTCTGTTATACATATTGGTCCATTTTAGAAGTCTGGCATATATGCACATTCTGCCACCAACTTAATCCAGATATTAATCTTTTGCAACCCCACACTATGCAGGTTTTCCAACTGACTAAGAGGTGGAGATAAAAGTGTTTGTCCTTTTGTTCAGACAAAGAAAAAACAGCACGGGGAAAGGGTTTTTTTTTTTTTTTTGCAGCTCTTTAATTTTCTTTCAGAAAAATAGAATTTGCCTATATACTTTAGGAAATTATCTGTTTATCAACAGAAATATTTATTAATGTGTTAATATTTTTGACAACATGAAGATTAGGTAATCAGAAACCCTAGACAGATCCAGTTGCAGATCTGATTTCTGGTTAACTGTGCAATATATGATGAGAAGACAAAATTCTGAGGAATGGAAATTACTGATGTACCTGCTATCATATCATATCATAATTTATATGACATCTAATTATACATGCACAGACATATTTTTAAAGAGTTGATACTTGCAGTAGAAACATGCTAAGTATTCTTCTATGTGCCTTGAGATATCCATAAGTGCATATAATTTTGAATCCAGTAGATTATTACTTCTGTAAATTCTTATATGACGAAGACTCAAAAGAAGAAACAGTGCAAGTTGTTTTGGGAGAAATCTAACCTTGGTTCCCATCAACCCCTAATACTGCAGTGAGTAATCTGGGAAAGACAAGCAGAAAAATAAGCAGGAGATAAATTATC